AGACTGAAGGTATGCTTGGAGGCAAGCGTTGTCAGGGGACAGCGAGGACGAAGGAACCCAGCTGTCGTCTGCTGCGTCGTAACCACGCCAACGAACCAAGAAGTCGATGAAAGTGACACCCCCCTGGAGACGGCGACGGTGCCTGAGGATGCGCTGGATCTGGTAGTCGGGCTCGTCGGTGTCAACAGCTACCGGCAGTGGAGTGCGATCACGGCCCGAGAAGGTGGCATTGGGATCGGTGTATGGGCGAAGGAGAGACACGTGGAATGACGGGTGCATGCGGAAATGTGCGGGAAGGCGAAGGCGGTATGCGACTGGACCTAGTGCGCGCTCAATGACGAATGGACCAATGAAACGTGGACGAAGCTTGCTGTCCTGTGGCAGTCGGAGGTTGCGGCTATCCAAGAGAACACGGTCGCCGACTGCGAACGACACCTCACGACGACTGCGGTTGGTGGTGCGTGCCATGCGTGCATTTGCGAGCTCAAGGTGCTTCCTCACGTGATCATGAATGAAGGTGAGATGCTGGTGGAAGTTGTCCGCACGAGGGACTGTGGGTGTGAGATCGACACGAGTGGGGACATTGGGGTGCTGACCGTAAAGTGCAAAGAACGGTGACATGCCTGTGGCGGAGTGGTGCGTGTTGTTGTAGGCGAACTCTGCCATGCTCAGCTTCTTGTCCCATGCGGCTGCGTCGTGCATCGTGATGCTGCGAAGGATCTGCTCCAAGGTCTGGTTCACACGCTCGGTCTGTCCGTCTGTCTCTGGGTGGTACGCAGACGACATGGCTAAGCGAGTCCCAAACAGTGCGAAAAGCTGCTTCCAGAACTTCGAAGTGAAACGAGGGTCGCGGTCTGAGATGATGGAATCTGGAACCCCGTGCAGTCGGACTACGTTATCTACGAACAGCGTCGCGGCTTCCTCTGCTGTGACCTTGCCGTGCGTGGGGATGAAATGCGCTGCTCGAGAAAACTTATCCACTACTACGAAGATGGCGTCGTGACCCCTAACTGTGCGCGGTAAAGCCATGATGAAGTCCATGGTAACTACCTGCCAAGGGCGGTCGGGCGGTGGAATCGGCTGCAAGAGTCCTGCTTTGCGCTGGCGAGAGGACTTCGTACGCTGACACGTGTCGCACGAGCGAATGTAATCCTCTACGTCTGCTGCAAGCCCGGGCCAGTAGTACGTGCGACTAAGCGTCTTAGCCGTCTTATCTGCTCCGAAGTGCCCTGCACTAACTACGTCGTGCGCCTCTGAGAGAAGGAGCTGTCGAAGAGGGCGGTAGGCTGGAACCCAAATCCGTGTGGTACCCTTCCGTATGTAGACACTACCCTGCACCTCTGCTCCTGCGGGCGGCTGCGGTGTGAAGTCGGGATCTACTGTGTAACCGTGCTCGAAGAGTGCTGTGAGAAGTGGGTGGCCAGCAGTGACTGTGAGACTGGCGAGCTGACAACTAGGGCGAGTGAGCGGATCTGCTGGGTTGCGCACGCCTGGCTTGTACTCTATCCTGTAGTGAAAGCTCCCTTCCATGAACTCCATCCACCTAGCCTGGCGACGACTCAGCTGCGGCTGCGACTTGAGGAAACGAAGCGAACAGTGGTCCGTGCGTATAACACTATCTGCCCCCTCTAGGTAGCACCTCCACACCTTATACGCATGGATGATCGCGAGCGCCTCCTTGTCGTGTATGGGATAGTTCAACTCCGCTCCCCTAAGCTTACGCGACTCGTACGCGATCGGCTGCAACCCGCGTCCCTGGTCCTGAAGAAGCACTGCTCCTATGGCCTGATCGGAAGCGTCGGTCACTACAACGTATGGGCGAGTGGGATCAGGGTACGACAGTGTCGGTGAAGACGTGAGCGACTGCTTCATCTGCTCGAACGCCTGCTGCTGCGCTGGACCCCAAACGTACTCTACGCCCTTCAGAAGTAGGTCGGTGAGTGGACTAGCGATCGATGCGTAACCCTGAACGAAACGACGGTAGTAGTTCGCGAAACCGAGGAAGCTCTGCAACTCCTTGACTGAGGTCGGTGCTACCCAATCCTGTACTGCTGCGATCTTCTTCGGGTCAGTCCTAATGCCACTAGCGGATACGACGTGTCCTAGGAACTCGACCTCTGGAAGGAAGAACTCGCACTTCGACTGCTTAGCGTATAACTGCTCCCTCCCTAAGACCTCGAAGACCTTCTGCAAGTGCTGCACGTGCTCATCTTTCGTCTTAAAGAACACTAGGATGTCGTCTAGGTAAACGACAACGAACGACCCTAGGAACTCGGAGAGGACTGTGTTCATGAGCGTCTGAAACGTCGCTGGGACGTTGGTCAATCCGAACGGTAGAACCCTAAACTCGTACAACCCCTGCTTCGTACGAAACGCCGTCTTGTGCTGGTCCTCTGGAACTACTCGAATCTGGTGGTAACCCGAACGAAGGTCGATCTTTGAGAAGACTCTAGCGCCCTGCACTGCATCGAGAAGATCCTCTACTCTCGGCACCGGGAATCTATTCTTGACGGTGGCGGCGTTCAGTGCGCGGTAATCTATGCACATCCGTAACCCTCCGTCTTTCTTGGGTGCGAAAAGTATCGGTGCGGCCCAAGGCGATCTAGATGGCTGTATGAAACCCTGTGCGAGAAAGTGCCTAACTTGCTGCGTCATCTCCTCTGTCTCCGCTGGACTCAACCTCCACTGCGGCTTCGCTACTGGCCTGCTCCCCGGCTCCAATTCTATTCGATGGTCTACTGCTCGGCTGGGAGGCAACCCTGGGGGCAACTCGTCGGGGAAGACGTCTGCGAACTCTGCTAACAGTGCACTCACCTCAGCAGGAAGAGTCGCCTTCTCACTAACTGCTGCACTCCCTCCTTTCCCCTCCTCAGCTTCCACCTCCTCAAGAAAAACCGCGAAGATCCGTGCCGCACGCTTCACTAACTGTCGCACACGAACAGCATTAATGATAGCTGTGGATGATGTGGCCCCATCGCTCCACTGTGGCAGCTCCCGGAACTCCCCGTCTACCTTGACGCTGCAGCTTCCCTGAGCCCAATCGAACTGAGTACTAACCGTCCGTAGCCAATCTCTCCCGAAGATAAAATCGTATCCGTCCAGCGTCGCAGAGTCGAAATCACGCCTGACTGTGATCGGTCCTAGCACTATGCGCAACTTGCGGATGATCGGTCCTATGTGAAGTGGCGTCCCATCTACCATGCGAGCGTCCTTGAAGTTGACTGCTGAATCTGCTTCGAGATGGAGACGAGAAACTAACGATGAAGAGACGAACGAGTGGCTAGCTCCGCTATCTACGAGAATCATAACAGGAACTCCGCGAAGCTTTCCTAGAAGCACGACTGGACGATCAACAGTGTCTACCTCGTTCTCCGTAGATGACTGCTACGAAGCCGTCTCCTCTACGTTGGTAGACGTGGCGGGTACGGGAACCTCCACACCAGCTAGCGACCCGCTATCTACTGGCGGTTTCCGTTTCCCTACTGCCGCTCCTTAAGCTGTGGGCAGTCTCGCTTCATGTGTCCCGGCTTTTTGCAGTAGTGACAGTTCCCCCTAAATCCCATTTTCTGTGAGCCGTCACTGTTAACTGCACCAATCTCCATGGGCGATGGTCCGTCCCTCGATCGAGCGTCGTTGATCGGTCTGTTGTATCCCCTATCGCGATCGTCACGACCCCGTCGGCTTCGTACTGCGTCGACGCGTTCTGCTGCTGCGACTACCGACTCGAAGGTGGACAACCCGTGAATCGCAATGACTTCCGCTATGTCCGACTTCAACCCTTCGAGGTAGCGATCGCGCATCTCTGCTTCCGTGATATCGTCTATCTCGTTGCAGATGCTCAAGAACCGTCGTGTGTACTCCTGGACGTTGCCTATCTGTCGGAAATGACGCAGACGCTTCCTAGCAGCTTCGGAGGCGTTCACCAAATCGAACCTACTTTTCAGCGCCGCTTCAAATCCTTCCCATGTGGTCGGAACCGTGGTAACACCCAAAGCTAAACTCCCTAAGCTCGAAGTTGCAGCTGCATGCCCCACGCCCTGTTGATGCCCGTCCGTCTGAGCCCTTCTTACAGCAGTTTGAGTGAGTTGGCGCCACCACTCCAAGGCCGGGCCCCTCAGCAGTGTAACAGCGTACTCGATCCGCTGCTGCGCGTCCGCCTCTTGCACCCCGCTCGCGGCGAAGTAGTTGTTCAGCATGAAGACCCACGTCCGCACGTTCGCGTCGCGTTGACTTGGGTCGAACGACTCGGGTTTCTGCGGCTTGAGTGCGCTTCGACGTTCCGGCAGCGCTTCCGCGCCAGTCGACGTGTTGGGCGCAAGAGTTGGTGTGGCATGACCATGGGGGTTAGAAGCCAATTCACGAAGCTGTTGCATTTCAGCTCGTACCTGTCGATTTTCCAGCGTCAACTCTTGAAGTTGGCGCATGAGTTCGGCAAGCGTGTTGCCCATGTCGTGGGGGACTGCGTGCATGGTTTCGTCCATGTTCGCTCAACGACTCCAAGTCTGCAAGTCGGCACCGCGGGACGATGACGTCGTAGTCTCGTCGTCGACGGTCGCTCGTTGGAGGTCGCTGCCCGCGAAGGCTCTGATACCAAGTGTTAGGCCCGACGGCCTAAGTCCGCTAAAGAATTAGCGGGGTCGACTAAGTCGAGGATGAAACACGGCGGAAGACTTTGGCGAAAGAACTATTGGCGAAATAGGCGAAGAAGTTACTGAGTAATTGAAGAAGAGTTGAATGAGAATTGATTGATAATGGCAAGTACAAGCAAGGTTTATATAGCATGCAAGAAACAAGGTTGGAAAGTGGAATGTGGGACCAAGAATTGGAGTGCAAGAAAAGTAGAGTGCCACGTGGCACTAGAGAATCTGAGAAGATAAGGATAATGGTGACTAGGAATGTACTGTTCGGAATGAACAGTAAACATCCCTCTAACAGTTCTCCAGCATTCCTTCACATACACCTACAAACATCATACGATGCATGTCAACACCACCAAATTTTCAGAACATCTCGGCAATGCGGGTGACGCGCTCCTCCACAAGCTCCTCTGACAGCACGGCCCCTCGCCCCGTGGCCACGCCCTCTATGAGCTGTGCAGCACGCTCCCCCACCACGTCCTCCAGGTCATGCACTGCGTCGCCCAGCCACCTGCCCGCCACCTCCACCGTGCTGCCGCCCCCGCCCCCTGCTGCCAGGTCCGTCAGCTGTGCCAGGAACAGGGCTAGGAACTCCACTGCCTTGGCTCTGCCGGGGGGGTAGGGAAGAGGGGAGCGCGGGAGGGAGCACGTGGAGAATGTGCCATGGGATGGTGTGGGGTGTGTCAGGGGTGGGTTACACTGGGCGCGTGTGACTCCCTCTCGTGATGCGTTCATGCATGTTGGCCTTGTGAGGTTGCCGCAGATGTGCTATGTGTTTGCTTTGATCATGTGGCATGTGCACTGGTGCAGGTGATATCAGCTCAGTTGCATGCCAGGCGACAAATAAATCCACAACCATATGGGCTACAACCAGACTCAGTTTGCAAACGTAAGAAGATGTGCAACAGAAAGAACGGTGGGACTGCCACTACATGGAGGCTTACAGGACGCGGCAAGCTGTTGGTTTCAATTGGAGGGGCAACCTGGGGAGTCAACCAGATACTGCAACTGTCCCAGTAAATCACTCCTGAAAGGGACAACCCATGGACCAGGCATATCCTAAGGGGGAAATCACCTGAGGTAGAGTGGTATTTGGCGGTCTTTGACAATGGGCGCCACATGCAACACGCCCTTGTGCACGTCCATGCTCTGCCAGCCACACAGAGAACCGAGTGCGTGGCAGGGGGGGAGACGGATAGCAACAGCCACACAAAAACGCAAGACAGCCAGATGAGTCCCTTGCAAGACCATGCACTGCATGCGAGATTGTGCACGGATATGTATGCTTGTGCGTGTGCGTGCGCGTGCGTGTGCATGTGTGTGTGTGTGTGTGTGTGTGTGTGTGTGTGTGTGTGTGTGTACGTGTGTGTGTGTGTGTCCGTGTGTGTGTGTGTGCGCGCGGGCGCGTGCGTGCGTGCGTGCGTGCGTGTGTGTGTGTGTGTATGTGTGTGTGTGTGGGTGTGTGTCTGTGTCTGTGTGATTTTGTACGTGTGTGTGCATGGAGCATAGCGTCAAACCAAACCACCAAACCAGCAAGCACGCCAACCAAAAGAAAAAGTCCAAGAAAACCTGGAGCAGCAGGAGACGGTCCGGCACAGTGGGCCTACAGAGGCAAGCAGCACACTCCAAGAACCCCCCCCCCTGCTGACCTCTAGCGCCTGCGGGCTGGCGAGGAGGATGGCGGGCAGTGCGTTGAGGCAGCACGCCATGAGCGACGGTGGGGGGTCGCCCAGCGGCGTGGACGACATGGGCGACAGGTGGATCAGAATGTCCTGCCTCCATGAGGGGTGGGGTGGGGTGAGGTGAGGCGCGGAGAGGTAAGTGTGGGGGTTGATTATGAGGCGCCTCAGAACCAGCGGCGTGGACGACATGGGCGACAGGTGGATCAGAATCTCCTGCGTCCATGCGGTTGGGGTGGGGTGAGGCGGCGGGGATGGGTAGTGTAGGGGGTGGAGGAAGACGGGCAGTGGAGGTGGGCGTGGGAGAGGGAGGGGCAGTGTAGTATGAGCAGGATTTGTTACAAGTGTGTGTTGATTTACGAGACATCCCTTCCAGGATTGTCGTCTGCATCTAACCCACGTTCACCACCCCACCCCTGCTCCCACCCACCACACCCCTGCTCCCACCCCAACCCTGCTCCCACCCCACCCCTGCTCCCACCCCACCCCTGCTCCCACCCACCTTGACGACATCATAGGAAGCAGCGAGTTGGCGGCTGGTGGCGGGGTCGAGCAGGCAGCACCCCTCCAGCACGTGCAGTGCCACCTCCACCTCCTCCGCTGTGGGCGCCATGGGCCGTCCCCCGCGCTGCCCTAACCCCTCGTCGCCGTCGTCATCGTCGTCGTCGTCCGCCGTGCTGGGCCCTATGCAGTGCTCACAGATGGCTGGTACCACTGCCACACGCACATGGGGCGCACAGCACACAGGGGGGACGTGCGGGACGTGGGGCGCATGGGGGAAATGGGGGGCACGGGGCACACATGGGCACATGGGGGTCATGGCCCACGGGGGGCACAGGTGTTTAGGTAGTGAGGGGGAGAAGAAGGGCGCAGCGGGATAGCGGAGGGATGGGGCAAGCAGACAAAGTGAGCCACTTGTCACCCGAGCCACCTTACTCTCTGCCTTAATTTTCCTAGCTACCTCACACTGCCCGTTGTTGTGTGCCTCATGCAAACGTCAATGCACGCCAGCCTTCACAACCACGCTCCCTGCCCTCTCCTTCACCACTCTCTCGCCCTCGCATCCTCTCTTCTTCTCTTTCTCTCTCCCGCCTCCCCGCCCACTTCATCGTCGTCGCCTGTGTCGTTCGTCTTTCCCTGGTGAGCCGCTCCTCCTTCCCACCACCCGAGCTCCGCCCCCCAGACCCCCTTCCCCGCCTCCTCTTCCCCCACAGCCTTTCCCCGTTCTACCCCGCCCCACCCCCCCCCCCCCCCCCCCCTTCTCACGTTGCAGTTCGCTGTACTGCTGGCTCTCGCGGAAGACGTCCGCCAGCTCGTCCGACTCCGCCGCGGACTCGACCACGAGCCCCACCTTGCGTAGCCCGCGCAGGCGCACGTAGCTGAACTCCGCGCGCACGTCGCGCAGCCCCGCGCGCAGCTGCAGCCCCAACTCGCGCGACCGGCGCTGCAGCGACAGCGACGCGAGCAGCGCCGCCATGGAGCGCGTGGGGGGCGACGCGGGGGAGAAGGGCGCGGAGCCGCCGTCCTCCCAGGGCGCGGGGGGGAGGTTGAGCATGGCAGACCGGCGGAATGCGCGCGGGTAGGGGGGATTGCGCCGGGGGTTCCAGGCAAATAAAGCGCGGAGAAATGCTACGCTGTCGCGCTGAAGTGCGTGTCGCGCTGTGAGAAGGTTCGTGGAAGTGGAAGCTTGAGGCGGGAACTAAAGATGCAGCTCGATTGAAGAACGTATCGATTAGGTCGTAGGTTAACTGAAGTTCATGAGAAGTAACAAAAGAAGATTACCGTAAAAGAGGTTAAGTGTATCCTCCCAATCAAACATATTGGCAATGAGTAAATAGCTACACCGCGGTCACTGAAATGTGCGCTTCCTTATTATACTGCACGAAGAGCGAACCACTGAGGCTTCTCGAACTCGCGAAGGAACCCATGCCTTTCCACGTGGCAATCCCGGATTCGAGAACTCCAGTTTAGAGCTTATAGGGCGGAGGGGGAAAGAACTTGGGTGGCGAGGCGAGAGGCGGTGCTGTGGAGTGACGTGATGTACATCACCTGCAGCAGAACGAACCAGCAGAGAACCTGCTCCCTTCCCATTTGGATGGCATTTGACTGGGCAGCACTCCTTCCCTCCTTCCTGCCTGTCATCACGTCATGAGTCACGACCCACACTGCACGAGCGTCAAAACCTTGTCTGAATTCTCCTGATCGAACACCCAACTCCAGTGGAGCGCCACCAGACTCGGGATCGTTGTTGAATCTCAGTGCTGCTGCTGCCATTGCATCTAGCCCTACCATCACTCGCGCCCATTCGTCCACCCTTGCCCGTGCTCGTTGCGATCCGAGCAAAGCGAGTCGCTCGTAGGCAACGGTCGTCTGCGAGTTTTCCACTCGGGTACCTCTACCTACTAGGTGAACCGGAATAATTGCGTCAGGAGGCGTGACACAGAGAGCAGAGGACGTGCGGTCCTGGCGAGTGAATTTTGCAAGTCGTTAGCTGACTGCGATCACTGAGACCGGATCGCAGCGTGCCTTGGGATTCACGCGGGGAATTCGCCGCCGTTGCTGACATCGGCGGTCTCGTGCGCAGGGGTTTCCGCGGAACCGCGTTGCCTTCGCAATTGCACTGTGCGGACCAGGCCTCAGTCGGTCATCCGTGCCTCGCGTTCCAACTCGAGGTTTCCGCCGCCTCGCGCGCTTCTTAATTCCCCATCCGCTCGTCCGTCGCGCCGCGCCTGCCCCCAGGGGTACCGCCATGGACGCGGGCTTTCTAGAAGTGAGTGGGTCTTCGGCTGATGCGAATTGCGTGGACACACGCCCGCCCGATGAGTATCATCCGTGTTGCGGGAAATTTTATCTGCATGAGATGTCACAGCGCCGCGCCGTTGCGCTTCAAAGCTCCGCGCCGCGTGCGTGGCTGCTAATTCCTACCGGACGCTTTTCTGCTCCCCTTCCCTCCGTGTGTGGCGTGGCGTGTGCGCGTGGCGTGCTCGCAGGCGCTGGTGAAGGCGGGGAGCATGATCCTCGTGTCGGAGATCGGCGACAAAACCTTCTTCGTCGCAGCGGTCAGCTTCCCATGCCTTCCGCCATGCCCTCCCCCATGCCCTCCCCCGTGCCCTCCCCCATGCCCTCCCCCATGCCCTCCCCCATGCCCTCCCCCATGCCCTCCCCCATGCCCTCCCCCATGCCCTCCCCCTGCCCTCTCCCATGCCCTCCCTCATGCCCTCCCCCCCATGTCCTCCCCAATATGCCCTCCCCCATGCCCTCCTCCCCATGCCCTTCCCCGCATGCCCTTCCCCCCATGCCCTTCCCCCCATGCCCTTCCTCGCATGCCCGTCCCCCCATGACCTCCCCCCAATGCCCTTCCGCCAATGCCCTCCCCCAGATGCCCTCCTCCCTCCCATGCCCTGCACGCCATGGCTTCCCCATGCAACCCCCAGGCCCCCTCTGCCAAACTCCCCAACCTCCCCGCCCCGTCCCCCCCTCTTTTCGATCCATCCATGTCCCCTTCTCCCTTCCATGTGCGCCCTCGCCCGCCGCGCCCTCTTGCACCAATGCTTCCCAGTAACCCCCCATCCCCCTCCTTCCTCCCGCTCTCCTTCTCTACTTTCCACGCGAGCCCTATGCCCCCTTCGCTGTCTGCTGTGTTCGCCGCGCCTACTATGCTCGTGCCTCGCCCCCATCCCATTCGCGCGCCCTCCCGTCCGCTGTTGATCCAACTCTCTTAACCACCTGCTCGTGCGCCACTCCCGCTTCACATCCCTCTTGCTTCCCTCTCCTCTCTCCCATACTCCCCTTCCCTCCCCTCCATGCATGATCCTCTCTCCATGCTATTCCCCCGTCCCTTCTGATGCCCCCCAGCTCCTAGCCATGCGCCAGCCGCGGCGCTGGGTGCTGCTGGGCTCGCTCTCCGCCCTGTGGGTGAGTTGAGATGCGCGGGGCAACGGGTACACTGGGGGATAGGGGGGTGATGTGTGTCGGAGAGGAGGAGGTGGATGTGCGGGAGCGGGTTGCGCGCACCAAAGAGAGGGAGGGGGAGGGGATTCGCAGTGCAGGGCGTGGGATGCGCAGGGGATGGGTAGGGTAGGGGGAGATGTGCAGGATATGGGTAGGGGGAGAGTGGGGAGGAAGGGGGAGGCACGGCAGAAAGCAATTTGAGGGGAATCTGCGGCAGTGTGGCAAGTGTATGCATGGGTGCTTGGGGATGGGCATATGGGACTTATGGCACAGGGGCATCACGGTATGTGGTGGGGTGGGGCATGCATCAAGCCAACCCGCATGCTCTTTCTCACACTGCTTTTGTGGTGTGTGCCATGTGCTGCTGCCATGCCGTGGTGCTTTTGCAGTTAATGACAATACTCTCTTCGCTCTTCGGCTGGGCTGCTCCCAACCTAGTAAGCTCCGCCATGCCTGCACGCACATGCCTGCACTGTGTTATCGATATAAAGTGCAAGGTCGTTACCACCCTGCATGCAATACCTACACGCGCACTGCCATGCGTCCCCACTACACCATTCCACCTTGCAATGCCACCATCCTTCCCCCCTGCTCGTCCCCTCATCCCCCCCCATCTCGCCGTCTCTCACACCCACCTGTTCCCAGCTGCCGCGATCATGGACGCACGTGAGCACGACGCTGCTCTTCTTCCTCTTCGGCCTGCGCTCCCTCTGGGACGGGCTCACCATGGACGCCGCCAGGTCAACTCCCCTCGCCCCTCGCCCCTCGCCCGCCTTCCTCCTCCTCTTCCCCCCTGTTCCCCTTAGTGCCCCTTGTCCCCGTTTCCAGTGCCTGGCTACATGTGCTACTACTGCGCCAGGGGGGTAGGGTGGGCAGGACGGCTGTGGAGCACCAGGGTAGTTAGAGTGGGGGCGGATGGGTTTGGGTCGTTGACTGGCAATTGCAGTGACGAGCATTCATGGGGGAGAGTGAAGGGACGGGATGGGATGGGATGGGATGGGATGGGATGGGATGGGATGGGCTGGGCTGGGCTGGGCTGGGCTGGGATGGGATGGGATGGGATGGGATGGGCTGGGCTGGGCTGGGCTGGGCTGGGCTGGGATGGGATGGGATGGGATGGGATGGGATGGGCTGGGCTGGGATGGGATGGGATGGGATCTGCTGCTGCCACGAGCGCCTTCCTGCACGCAGCCTAGCTGCGGGCCGGCGGCATGCCCCTCTCTCGCTCTTTCACCCGCATGCCATGCCATGCAGTGCGCCTGCTCCTCCTGCCCTCCTGCATCATCTCAACTAACGCCATGGACTTCCCTCCTTCCCCACCCCCCTGTCTCTTCATGCCTCTGCCCATCCCTGCGCCACCCGTCTGTGCCCACGCTCCGCCCATCCGTGCCCACCACGGCGCCATGGCACTGCAGGGCGTCGGAGGAGCTCAAGGAGGTGGAGCAAGAACTGGTACAACGCCCATGCCCACCTCCTGCTCATGCTGCTGCCGCTGCCGCCGCTGTCGCTGCTTCTGCATGTTTTCTGCTGTGCATTTGTTGCTGTTGCCTTTCTCATCCTGCTTCCTCTCGCACCGCTGCATTGCTGTTGCCCACTCACCATCATTTCTCGCCCCCTCGATTTTCCGCTTCTCGTTTCTGACTGTCCGCGCCATTACCGTCTGCTGTGCACAGGACAAGGCAACCATAGCTGCTGCCACGGCAAGTGCTCCACCCTCCACTACAGCACCACCATCTCAACACAAGGTCATGCACCTTCCAACCCCATACCCTAGGCGCCATCTCCCTAGGCGCCATCTCCTTAAGCATCAGCTTCCTAGGCGTCCATCCCCCACTCTTTGTAAACGAGCAGGTCATGATTTCATAGCCATTAACAGAGCGTTTTCTCCTGACATACCCTCCCCTCCTCAACCTCTCCTCCTGCCTCTCCTCCCATTTTCCCCACCCTCAGCCTCTGTGCGGCCCCATCTTCTACTCTCGGCCAGCATCCCCACTCATCTGATCTCTGTCACACCCACATCCCCCTGCCTCTCCATCCAACCACCCTACAACCCAGGCCTTGCCACTCATACTACCACTCCCCCTCTCTCCCTCTCCGCGTGCATCTCCCAACCTCGGGCCTGTTCCTACTTGCACCTCAACCCTTGTTGCCCACTCCCTCCCTCCCTGGCCCTTCTTCCCTGCAGAGCAACGGGGTGAATGGGGGCGGGCACGAGGGGAGCATGAACGGGGTGGGGGGCCAGGGCGAGGAGGAGAGCAAGCACGGCAAGGCGCAGAGGCTGGCGTGGCACCGCTTCTTCTCCCCTGCATTCCTGCAGGTGACCACTCTCTCCCACAACACCCTCCCCCCCCTCTCACACTTCCCAGTAGACTGTGAAGATGGTGCTGGGTTAGACCCGGCCTGGAGGATAGAGTTGGACTTAGGAAAGCAGAGATTGACCTACCATGCTCCCTCGTTAGTTGACCTGTACACGTTTGATTCAATATAAGAACCATTTGATAGAAAAGAGCATCGGTGAGAGAATATTTGCGGCACAGCAAGGCCAGGTGAGTGAGTGCATGGGACATAGCAGCAGGTGCGCCAATGGGATGGGCAGCCATTCAGGTAAGGGGCATGAGAGGCGTGAAAGGAATGAGAGGTGTGAGAGGCGTGAGATGAATGAGAGGCATTAGAGGCATGAGAGCCCTTTCTCGCGCTCAGCAGTACCCTGCGTGGTCATTGCTCGCGAACCCAACACACTGCTGGAAGCAAACGCACGCTACTCCCTCCCTCTGTTGCTCCCGCCCTCGCCCCATCTGCAGGCCTTCTCTCTGGTGTTTCTCGGGGAGTGGGGCGACAAGAGCCAGGTGCGTGCAGGGGGCAGAAGAGGGAGCGTGTATGCATGTCACATGCTGAGAGAGGGCTCCATCCTTCGGCCTTGTCTGTAGGGCCCATTCACAAGCCCATACTTGCTTCTCTCGTCTGCCTCTCCCTGCTTCTATGACCCCCTGCTCAGCCCATACACCTCCTTAAACTGACATCCTGTGTCCTGTCCCTTCATGTGTGTGTTTTCGATGTGTGAGTGTGTGTGGGATGTGTGGGTGTGGCATTCGTGCGTCTATGCTCATGCATGTGTGTGTGTGTGCGTGCATGAGTGCATGTGAGCAGCTGGCAACAATAGGCCTAGCATCAGAGGCCAGCGTGTGGGGCGTCGCGCTCGGCGGGTGCATGTGCGTCTCCAGCTCCTCCTCTCCTATGCCCCTCCATATACCCACTCACATTCATACATTCTTCAGTCCTGCCTACGTCCACCCTCACATCCGTGCTTGACTCTTCTTTGTCCCTTCACCTCTCCCCACCACCAACGCATGATATCATTATGAATTCACTGCCTCTCCCCACCCAACCTCCCTTTCCCTCTTCCCCCCACTCACCCCCGTCCCCCTGTGTGCGTGTGTGATAGAGGCCATGCGGTGTGCTCGGGAGCAGCAGTGATGGGGGGGCGGCATCTGGCCTCTCGGATATCAGAGCGCACGGTGAGCGCCCAGTGGGGAGGAGCGAGTGGGCGGGCGAGGGAGAGGGAACAAGGAGGGATAGGGAATGGGTTTGTGGGAGGGTCATGGAGAGCAGGACAGGACTACTGTGCCACTGTGCCACTGTGCTACTGGGCTGGTGTGTGGCTGTGAGGGCATCACTTTCTCTGTGGGTTCTGGATGTTTCTCACCACTTGTGTCCATTCCAATGGTTCTCCCTCTCATGGTTTAGGGTCACCTACTAAAAAACTGCCGTAGAAAGTGTTTTGTCGGGCACTTGTTCTCGGGCAGTGAATAGATAGACTTCATCCCTTCTTCCCTGTGCCATGCATTCACGGTCGTGGCTCGTCGTGTCTCCTGCGCTTCCCCCACCCTGCAGGTTGCACTGTGTGCCGGTGTGCTATTTCTTCTCTTTGGCGTGCAAGCCTTGTTGCATGGCAGCATGGCTGCTTGAAATGGACAGCTGAACAGAAAGCACTTGAAGGGGATTGACGGAGGCAGTGCAGCTTAATAAGCAGGGTGCTTCTGTAAATGCTGTTCAAAACAGGGTGCCTGAGCAGGAAATCGGTTATTCTCAGTCTAGCCACCCGAAGAAATGTCATGCCGTGGCAATAAAGGCATGTTATTGGCTTGGATTGGAATGTAAGGAGAACCATGCTAATACCGTTACAAGAGAAGCAGTTTTCTCGATCATACCACGAGAGCAGGTTTCATGAATAAAAACCTTACAGGGCTGGATAGCACACCCGTATACCCCAATGGGCAGGCGACTCCGCCCGGTGACTTAGATCATGCGTTGTCACGTCGACCACCTGCCCGGGGCAGGATAAACTAAATCCTTCTCACATGCCTTCCTATCCAAGAGGAGGTGCCAACCCTAATCACCATGCCACAAGGTCTTTAAGGCTGATTCACCCTTCAGATGGTATGCCTTTTGAGAGGGTTGTTTTTTGCCCTGGAGAGGCTGTTTTCCAGGTGGAGTGGGTTGCCGCTTGACACATACTAACCTGATAAGTTATGAACGATCTAGGTTGACACAGCCCTCCTGTGCCAGAAACGTTCTCTCCCTCTCTCTCCTCAAGCGGATCCCTCTCACAGCCCCGTCGCGGGCGGGCCTGCCGTCGCGGCCCCGCCGCTGCGGCCCCGTTCCCGCCCCGTCGCGGCCCTGCAACCGCCTTGCTACTGCCCTGTCACGGCCCCATCACAGCCTCGCAGTGGCCCCGCTGTCGTGGCCCTCCCGCTGTCGTGGCCCTCCCGCTGTCGTCGCCTCGTCACGGCCCTCCCGCCACCCTGTTTCGGCCCCGTCGGGTGGCTAGTGTGCGACGTAGCGGACTCTAAAGGGCCACATTGAATGGGGGGCACTTGCATGAATCATGGGGGTACGAACAATCTCCTTGACCAAACCAATGCGACGCTCAGCTACCTCGTTCTGCTGCGATGAGTCCGGGAGCGAGAACGTCTAGGTGATAACCTTTGCACAACAGAATTGGCCATAGCGACTCGAGACGAACTCGACATTAAGGTCGGAGTGCCAGCGAAGCACATGCTGCGCGCGTTGGGTGCGGATGGCTACGAGCAGGGAGGATAACGTCGAGCACGTCAGCCTTCTGCTCCAAGAGAAGAACTGTGGTGTAGCAGGAGTAGTTGTCTATGATCACAAAGAAGCACTCCCGTCGCAACCCAATGACGAGGGAGAAAATGGGGAGGAGTGAGGGGCAGGGCTCTACCGCCCTGATGAAGACGCAGGATATCAGCGTGACCTAGATGGTAGTGCCACGGGAGCAATGGGTGAGCAAGCAACCGGAACAAGCACGACACAGCACCTGATCAGACGCATGAACATGGGTGGACGCAATGTGCAGCGTGAAAAGACGCGACCCAGGGTCCCGAGGGAATGTGGCAAGAGGTGCCGGAGTGGTAGCGTCCGTACATGTCACAAACTGCTCATGTCAAGGAAAACATGGTGGTGATGCTGAGATCTTGAAGTCAACTGACAGCCACCAAGCTCTCTGAGAATGAGGGGATGTGCAAACCTGTGAGGGAGGCAGAGGGGATTCTCGTACACAAGATTGAAGTAGCGCTGCATGCAACGACCGGTCCAGAGGAGGGTTTGGCCAGGGACGACAGGAGCTAGAAACGGCGAGAGGGTGGTGTGGAGCATTGAGATGTGCCGTAGTCTAGTGTGAAGGAGAGGGAAGCATCGGCAGTGGACGCACCTGGGTAGGAAGCAGTAGAGGATCCTACACTAGAGACAGCTAGAGAACATAGTCTAGGCACACACCAATAATACGTCCTAGCAGCACGTCATCAACACACATGGCATACAAGCAGATCCCATCTAAGACATGTTTAGAACAAACACAACCAAACCACTGCGTATTAGCATAGGCCAGTCCAAGAGGGACGGCGTAGCCCCAAAGTGGGTGCGGAAGAGATCGCTGAGCTGGCGGAAGCAGCGCGCAATGGAGTGGACCAAAATGAAGCTGGTACTGGCAGGGCCCAGTTTGGGCTCCTCGTGACACCCAGTTGTCAGACCCACCACCGCAGCCACCGCTCCTCGAGCCAGCAGGTCCCCACTGACGTTGGGAGACTACGGCTAGAGTTTCGGTTGTTGCTGCTGTGGAGTGTGCTGCTACAGAGTTACCGTCGCACCCCCAGTGCCAGCACCTCATCACCGATAAAACCAGCACTCCCAGCATCACCACCCTCCAAAGTGAGGGGGCACAGATGGCTGCGGCCTTTGCTGTTGCAAAAGTCTCAGCAATAGCAGCAGAGGGAGCTAGGGCAGAGGGTAGCCCTCAAAGATGGGGGGCGCTACTGCACCAGTGGTAGAGGCGATGGTGCGAAGGCGGGTCTCGTTCTCAGTGAGACGATTCGGAAAGAGATCAATAGTGAGGTCCATGGGGTGCGTGTCAAGGAGGGCCACGTGGGTGGGTGCAAGGCGGTAAGGAAGGTGGGTCCTTAGGAAGTGCATGGTGAGATACGTAGGGGGGCGTGCGTAGCAAGGTGCTCAGTAGTGCGGAAGCTAGTGTCGAACAAGAGTAGGTGGATAGCGAGGTCAGCGACATTAGGGAAAGTAGGGAGATCAGGGAAGACAAAGAGCATGAGGAGGCGCCCCAGAGTAACAGAGGGGGTGGAGTAGCGAGCAATAATAGAATCTAGACACTCCTTCACCATCGCAACCTTGCAAAGAAGCACTCGCTCGGCCGACGGCAGGGGGCGACTAAGAGTAAGGCATGTAGGAGCATCCCGCGACACCAAAACCAAGTACGCAAGTTGGGCCACGGGTAAGCCTCCTGCTCCCTCGAGGTGGGCTCAGCAATTAGGGCAGGAGACTGCTCTGGGCAGGTACCTCACCCAACATGTGGGCGTACAGCTAGACGTCGTCTTGGTGCTGCTTTGCTGGTGGAGTAGGACGTCGAGCGGCCATGCGTCATAGTTTATCGCCCGCCCCTCTGCATTGAGCCGCAATACGAAATCGGACGCCATGATAAGAGTAAGCAGGGGCACAGTTGCAGTAGATGAGAGGGGATAACCATAGGAAGAGGAGAAACACAGTTAGAGGTAAAACCTAAACCGCGGCAGCAGGCGCGGCGGCGGGCAGTAGCGGCGGGCTTGGTGGTATCGACATGTGCGGTGGCTGGCGTAGGTGGAAGGTGCACCTGTAGGCGTGGCCTGCATGCTCGACATGCGCGCGATAGGCACGACGGTGGGCCCATGGCAGGTGGATGGCAGGCATGGCGGCAGGGCGTGGCAGGGTATGTGGGGTGGGCGGGGCAGGGTGCGGCAGGGCGCGTGGCAAGGCGTGGTAGGGTGCGGCAGTGCACGAAGTATAGTGCGGCAGGGCGCGCAATAGGCGTGCAGCAGGCGTGCGGAAGGGCGCGCGGTAGGTGCACAACAGGCGTGCATCAGGTGCACAACAAGCGTGCATCAGGCGCACATCAGGCACATGGCAGGGCGCGTGCATAGCATGTGCGTGATAAGGTGCGGCAGGGCGTGTGTCAGGGAGCGGCAAGCGTGCGGCACGGCGCTGGTGGACGCGGCAGGGTGCTCGGCAGGCTGCTGTAGAGCATGGTGGGGCGCGACTGCGGGGCTCGACGGGGCCATGGCTGGGATGCAATAGGGCTCGTTGTTGGGTGCAACGGGGCCATTAGAGGGGCGACTAGGGGGCGCTATGTTAGAAAGAGAGCTGAATCAGAATGATGATGTGGACATGCATGGTTACATATATGAAACCCTAATATGCACTTGTGTTACCCTCTAAGGAGTAACCCAACATAACCCAACCTAGTTTACAGAATGTGTTGCATATAACATGACACAACCCCATTGGCTAGGTAAGGGGCATTGATAAGGGCAAGAGAAACAACACCTCAAGGCTGCTCAACTAGTCCAACCACTTAGGCAAACAGTCCCAATACTAGTTAACAAGAAGCAACAAAGCATGTGATGCAACCCAGGGTGGCACTACTACTCCAACCACAAGGACAATGAGTCTGCGTAAATATAAGCAGCATCACACACAACGCAAGATACAAAGATCAAGACGTAACGAGGTAAGGACGTGTTGGAACTAGGCCAAGCTGGGTGTAAAATCGACGATGATTATGAGGCTGGATAGCCTTGGTGAAGATATCAGCGGTGGTGGCCCCTCAGACCACTGGTACCACATGTGCCTGGCCGCGCTGCTGCAACTCATGCAGCACAAAATCTCGCAGATGGATGTGATTCGCTCTACCCTCCAATCGAGGATGTTGACATGGGGGGATCAAGTCGAAATAAATTTAAATTTATTTAGTATATCTAACGTGAAATGGGGCTGCTTGGCGCGAAATAAATATGGGGTTGCTTGACGGGGACAAGCTCTCTACCCGCTCTACCCATGCGTCTTCCTCCGTTTCCCCGTAGACGCCGCCCCCTGTCAGTTTTCCCACCCCTCGTCTCACTGGTTCTTCACCTCACGTGACGTAACCTTTGACGAGTCAGTCTGTTTCTACACTCATAACCTCCACCAAGGTCTCCCGGTTGTCTCTGGCCCCTTGTTCCTAACTCCCAACCCTCCCTCTAGTCCCACTCCCTCAGTAGCTTCCCACCCACAGCGTCCTACCCCGTCCGGTGTGTCGCTGGTCACCCCTAAGTCTTTGCCTTCCTCTGTCTCCTCCTCGTAGTCACCGCAGCAGGTTTCGTTACCCCCGTAGTAGTTGTCGTCACCGCGGCCAACTACTACTGAATTTGGGGGTACCATAGGTGCAGTTACGGAGGGTGCAGCCACTCGAGATGCTAGTCCTGGGGTGCTGATGCTGGAGGTGCTGGTCTTGGGGGTGCTAGAGCTGGAGGAACTGTAGCTGGAGGTGCTAGGCTTGGAGGTGCTGATGCTGGAGGTGCTGGTTTTGGGGGTGCTGGAGCTGGAGGTGCTGGACTTGGAGGTGCTGGTTCTAGGGGTGCTAGAGCTGG